CTGCTGATGTAAAAAATAAGACAAATTTGTTCAAGAAAAATTGTAAAACGACACTTTGTTAGTAAGTTTAATACCAATAAATGCCAAGTTAAGAATTTGTCGTCTAACGTAAAAAAAAAGTTTCCGCTGGTTGGTAAACGTTTAGATACGAACATATTGAAAAGACGTTGGACGTGCAGCGTTTTCAAAACAAGTAACGAAATCATTTTGCTGTTTAAAGTGCGACATTCAGCTCTTAATTCTCACATAAGCAGGTCTGTCACAGAATCCACACGTTCTTAGCAATTCCGATACAGTGACCGCATTTTCGTAGATTTCACGAAAAATCTATGATAGCCCCCTGTTCTGTTATCTGTTCTGTATTGGGATTCGAAAGGCGACATGGACAAACAAAATCATTGTCAAGTATTCGAATCCGAATGATTTGCTTTTCGAATCACGATACATAGTAGACTCACTGCTTACATCAATGGCCAAGAACGCACGATCAGTCGATGGCGTTCTGCTGAAAAAATAAGTTTGCTAATTAAAGTTTAAGCGACAGGAAAAAAAATTACGTTGCCAATATAGCAACTCAGTTGTTGTTGTTGTAGCGGCTAACACAACCCCGCCCAGATGGGCTAGTCCCTCAATCGTTGTGGTCAAGCTCAACTAACGGGAGACCTAGGAAGCGAGCAGCTTCGATGGGGTTTGTCCATAGAAGCAGATGCGTTAATTGAGTGGGGTTTAGTGGCACTCGTTGGGAACATCTGCATCTAATATTCCCAGCACGAGTTTAACCTGCTGCAGTAGCCAGAGCGAAGGTGGGGTATTGTGGTCCGAGTCTCCCGAGGCAGTCGAAGCTCCGTTTCGTCCACGTCTGATGGTTGTGTAGGTCTGTACTGACCCCCTGTGAATGCCGTTTATGGCCTGTCGGGTCCGGAGGCTGCTATCTGGACTTCATCCGTCAAGCGACCACACCGGCGCTGCGTAGTTTAGAATTGACCGGCTTTAGAATCGACCGGACCTATTTGCGGCTCTGTACTTTATTGTCAATTCGGTTGTGTGCGCCGAGGAGAGCAGACTATCGAAAGTTACTTCGAGAATTTTCGGAGTATCCACGGTCGGAATTTGTACGCCATCGACGTAAATTCCCAGCTGTAGTCTGTCCTCCTTCGTCCAGGTGGTAAAAAGGGTTGCCGAGGATTTTGTAGAGCAAAGGGTTTAGGCTCCTTGTAGTGAAGAAGCGAAGAAAGTTCGGAGAGGAAAGTAAAAAATTAAATAGCAGCGAGGAAAGGGCACCACCCTGTGGAGCCCCCTGTTTAATTCTCGCTTTGCTGGTTTTGTCTCTAAAATGACTGACGAATGTCGGACGGCTTAGATAATTCGCCGACCACCGTTTGAGTCCTCGTGGGAGAGAGAAAGCCTCAAGTCTCTATTAGCGTGGAGTGACTGGCGGTGTCACACGCCTTTGACAGATCCAACGCTGCTAGGACTGACCTCACAGGGGCGGTTTCGGTTTAGGCCGCGTGTTATCTGAGTGTTTATGGCGTTAAGTGCTGTTATTGTGCTGTCCAATTTTTGATGAAAGGGGGCTAATAGGGGAAATTTCCGAGTCGGTCGAAAAATCGATGTTAAGAATTTCAATTACACTCTTGGTATTGTGATTATACTTCCGGAAAAAAGAGGCCTAAGTGTACAGTGTTATGGGGTGCACTCATGGGCGTAGCCAGGTAGGGGAGGGGGGTACTCGAGCCCCCCCTAACTTTCCTTATATATATATATAAAATAGTACCCTGAAATGCCAGCTTAATAGGGTCGAGCCGCCCCCCCAAAATTTCATTCTGGCTACGCCGATGGGTGCACTCTACAATTTGAGTTATGAAGAATTTTTTAGACCGAAGTTTAGTAAAACTTCAAACTTGCACTGTATTATACTCAAATTTAATGGGCTACAAAACTGCATACTCAAAAAAATTCTAAACAAAATTTAAAAAATTTGTAAATTTGTAATTTACTCATTTTACTCAGCTTCGGTGTAAAAAAAAATCATAACTCAAATTATTGTAGAGTGCACCCCGAAATACTATACTTAAATATTGCGCAATACTCAGAGCTACCATTGTGATTTTTTGTGTGTGTATGTATGATTTTATCGATAAAAACTCTTTAATTGCGTACGCATGTTCACTTTGAGCAAATTTTGAGCGCTGGTTGGGAAAATCTTCGGTAGATTGGTCAAATCGCCAAAATTAGGGCCCAATTGGGAGAAACTTGTGGCTCTAATCGGGCAACCTCAAACACTTTCCAGCAAGGAAACTTTATCATAATGGGCAACAATTTTTGTGCCCTCAACTGGCACGAAAATCTGCTAGCATCATATAAGTGCATTTTCAGAAAAAACATCATAGCTCGAAAACGACGAATTTTAGCATATTGCTACTCATACTGAAAATAGTTTATACTCTTCCCTAATAGACAAAAAAGTTTGAGAAAAAAATATGGCCATTTAAAAAAAAATCAATTAAAACAATTTTTTATAAACAGTAATTAGTTATTAATAAACAATTACTGATGTTTAGTTCACTAGATCGATAGTAGATGATTATCTGCAATTTAAAAAAAAACAAAAAAAAAATCGTTAAAATCCAAAAAAAGTTGCTATTAAGAGAGGGAAAAAGAAACGTTCGTACTCAAAAAGAAAAAAATTCATTATTCGAAAAATTCGAATTTCTGAGCAAAAAGAAAAAATACGTGTCTCCTTAAATTGTTCAGGGAACAATCGCTGATCGCAAACTTACAATTCAGTTTTCCTCGGCCTGGGTGATTTGAGATGGAAAGACCCTAATATAAATTTAATGTTAAATAATATAAATTTTTGCATTCGCGTAAATTGTAAATGGATAAGCCCTTCTAGAAGGCATGCAAGGAAGCACTTTTTTCAGCCCTTTATGGGTAGGCCTCTTAGAATGGCTTGTGCACAAGTGCGATCCAGTATAAAAAGTTGAGAGCATTTAAGTCTCGCTGTCATCCCGTTTCTGTCCGGATGTGTGACAAGTGCGAAGTTTTGTCCAATGCCAATATTGGGCAGCCGTCAGCTCATAACTCTTCTTGGTGGCTGAAAAAGCTTCCGAGATGTTAATCATTAGTGAGATGGCTTCCTGTTTTGATCTCAAAAGAGAACTGAAGACTTTTGACCACTCAGATGCCTCGCCGTTTAGCGTGTTTGTCCCTATTGGTATCCTCACTACTGAAAAAGGAACGCAATCGGTCACAAGACTTCTCTTTGTTTACTGGTTTCTCGTGATACATTGATGGAACGACTGTCCCTGACTACCACATGGCCAGATATGATGTCCTGGGCGTCCTACGACCCACCAAAGCTCTCAGCAATGAGCAAAGAACTACCTGACCTGTTGGGGTTCTTCTGAAAGGATTGCCTTTCCCTTCAAAAGGTTCTGTCCCAGTTGAAATGACCCGGGCTCAAAGAAGACCGTCGAACACTTCCTGTGCGAGTATCCATCCCTCGGAAGGATGAGGCTAAATACACTCGGTGGTAGTTTGCACGTGTTGTGGAATCAAAATGTCAAACCTGCTAATTGATAGTCATCAGGGTGACAAACCACTTAAACCAACCTTCTCTTCTAACCCCCTCGGACCGCAGGATTTTGGAAGCTTTTACCTTTCAGATGCAACAAGCCATCAGATTCACCGCTAATGAAAGTAGCAGAAAAACGGAAAAATCGCATATGCGGAAAATGCTCTACGGATCATTTTGAGCAACTTTGCTTAAGAAACTATGGGTGTAAAACCAATTTCGAGCCAGCGAATTTTAAGGAGAAGTTTCATATCAGGTAATACAAGATTTTGTGGGAAAAACTTAAACAAATAGCTAATCTATTAGTGTAAGGGTACAAAAAGAAGTTTATATTTTTTAATACATAAATGATCAGAATTGAAAAAGAAATCGATTAAGCGGTGGCTGCCTGTCCGTCCGTCTGTGCACGCGATAACTTGATTAAAAATTTAGATATTTTAACACAATTTGGTATGTGTCCTTTTTAGCGCCGGACGGATGGTATAGAAAAAAGGCAAAATCGGACAATAACCACGCCTACTTTCCATATAACGGTAGTTTTCAGAAATACGAAAACTGCGATATTTTAGTAACTACTCATTCTTATTAACTCAAAATTAATTATTAAATGATTTATAAACGACAAATAATAATATTATAAATTTTTGGAAAATAGGCGTAGCCAGGTCTACTTATGATTACATGTGTTTATCTTGGTAACCGATGCACCACTTTCTTCCAAACTTGGCACAGTTGTTGACCTTGGTACAACATACCAAACGACTGAAAATTTTTAAAATCAGTTCATATCCACGTCCACATCCCGTATAACAGTTATTTAGAAAAATACGAAATCTTCGATAAATCAATAAATACTGTAGCTAGTTTACCAAAAATTAATGTTTGCAATAACTCTTTAGCAAAAAATACATTTATGATAAAATTTTGGAAAATGGGCCTGGCACCGCCCACTCATGACCACATCTGAATCTCGGTAACCGTTCGATCAATTTGTACCAAACTCGGTATGATTATTGTGCTTGCCACATAAAAGCATAACATTGAAAATTATTGAATCGAACTAAAATTACGCCTTGCATGGTTTCAGCAAAAAAAAAAATGCTGCTATAGCAGCTTCGCCTTGAAATTTGGGCGATTTTCAGCGAGCCTATAGACTATGTAGTCGGGCTATTGTTGAATCCATTGTAGTACGATTGTCGTGACAGTGCCCACTTTAGAAGGCTTTAAAAATTGAATGTGTTTTGACCTTGCATACTACATTGACACACTGAAAATTCGCTTCTGCTAATGAAAACAAGAATAAATTTCGTACATATATTTTTTTATTATTTTTTATATCTTTTCATATATGTATTGTATATGTACGTATGTACATACATACATATGTACATATATAACTACTGACTTTTTCGTTTTTTATTGTATGATTTCTCATTTTCATAGTACTACAATCTTTGAATCCTCTTGACGCAGAGTTAAATTTCCGCGCATGCGTGTGTGTGTGTTTGTATGAATTGTGTTTATAAGCAAATTATTTTTATACTTATTTTAGTCAAACTTTTTGAATGAATGCATTTGGAGAAACTCGTAGTAATTTTTAACTTTTTTCATCATTACAATTATTATATAGCAAAAAAAACATTGTGCAAAACACTTCGCAGCTAAAGTGACGCAGCAACGGGTGTTCCAAATACTGTGCCACACAATCTCTTTCCTGTTCGCAAATTTTCTTATTTCACTAAATATTCAATGGCATAGTACAACGTGGCGCTGAGTAAATTTATTTGAAAGCACATTGCATCTTAACGCTGCTGGCATAATTTGGTATAAGTATAATTTGCATAAATATCCACTTTGTTTGTTGAAACTACTTTAAATTTTTATTTATTTTTATTTTATTTTTCATTTAAATGTATGATCAATATTATAATTTCCCTTACTGAACTTACGAATATAATAAAGTGCAGAATTTGCGAATTTAAAGCAGAGCGTGAGCACCGTTTTATTTAATGCGGTCGCTACTTTTACTATATTTACTTTTATAGTTACACCTTTTTTTGTGAAAAATGTCGATAGTTTTGCTCAACATACTTTCATACCTTTTTTATGATTTAGCGGTTATATAAAAAAATTCTGCAGATTCATACTTTTGAAAAACTTTAATGACTTCATATTTTTTCAGTATTGTGTTCATTAGGTTCACAATAAAAATATTGTTTCAATATTTCCACTTACTGCATTTAAATTTTTTTCTCTTTCACAAATGGTACAAAACCTGAAGACTTTAAATTTGCAATTCACCGTATTAAAAAAATAAAATAAGCATAGTTGTCCAGTAAGAAAAACATGGTGAATGCTTGAATGAAAAAAGCTTAGTTTACAATATAAGTACGTGTGTAAGTGTAACGACACCCATTATTAATGAGACATTCAGGTAGGTTCTGCAACTCACTTCCGAGTGAGTTTCAACTCATGCCAATTTTAATTAAACGAACTTAGCTCGAATTCACACGAAACTGAATTACAGAAGCGTTTCAATAATAGCTAGTTGTAATTAGTTGCTATTAAAATGAATATATTTATTACTTTTAGAAGTCAAGGCAATCATGTATGAATGGATGTATTTCGAGTTTACATGTAAAGCTGAGAAACTGCGCCTACAAAAACAATTTTTCAGCAGCTGAGAGTTTAGACTTTCCAAAAACCGTAAATTTTTGAATGAATAATTAAAAAAATATTCTATGTATGTATTTAAGTATATTGCTATGCAACCAAAGATACCTTTTAAAGTCTTATTAGAATATAAAATCGTTACAATTGAACTGAGTTTTCACGAACACACAACGCCAGCCCTTTTAGTTGCTATTAAAAGTGGATAAAAATATGTTTAGAAGTAACTTAGTACATATGTATTTACATGTGTATTAGTAAATGAATGGCCGAAGAGTAACTTCAAATCAATTACAAGTAAATATTGGAAATTGAAAGTTCACTGTATTTGAGCACGGTTTCAAAAGGCACAAATTCTTAGTACATTCAGCACTGCATTCATTAGCAAAATACATATCCATGGAATTTCGCGCCAGGCAAAATTATGCTTTTGCTGTCCAAATATGACATTCTTTCTCAAGGATAAAAAAAAACAAAAATAGAAATACCTCATTAAAGGTAAGACTAATGCTAAAAACCCTCAAAAACAAAGAAAGATTAAAACATTAGCAAGAAACAGAAATAAAAAAAATAAAGAAAACAAGATAATGCAGAACGTAAGAACTATATGACCACATCCCAAACCAGAGTTCAAAAGCTTGGTTACCAAATTCTCTATGCCCAAAATATAACAAATAAAAAATCATAGAAAACATTGAAAACATACCTTCTTTTCGTGTAGCAACCAAAAGTGACTTTCGCACATTCTTTTCATTTTTCACAAGTATGTTGTATTTTATATAGCTTGTTTTTAGTTTTTTTTGGTTTTTTTTTTCATTTAAATTTTCTTCATATTCTGTATGGTTTAAAATTATATTTTATATCATTAGTTTTCTTGTATTACAATTCATTATTATGGTTTTCATGTAAAATAAATAATTATTTTGTTTTCTCTAAATAGAAATGTTTAATCATTTTTATATGCTTCTACATTCCTATAATTGTTGCTAAGCATTTGGCTCGCTTCAATGCATTTCAACTTTTCTAATCCCTTCTCTTTTCCAAATCCGCCACGGCACGCATGCTACTCCGCCGCAAATTCTTAAAAACTTATCCCTCCCTTCCACCTCTCAAACATCTTCTATCCTCTCGCACTTTATTTCTGGCTTGCATCATTCATTGGAAAATTGCAAATGGTTTTACTTTAAAATGTAGTAGTATTTGCAAATACATTAATCGCTTTATGAGTTAACAGCACTTGCCTGCGGCAATTGGCCGCCAATTGCATTGCCGCCGCCACCGCGAATGGCAATGTTGCCCTGTCCGGCGCGTATGGGCTTGGCGATTTGTGCCTGGGGACCACGGCGTCCGAGATGCTTTTGCCGCACCGCTTCCTTGATGCGATCCACTTCGTATTGGTAACGTTTGCGGTCGCGCATCGCACCTTCTTTCGCCTCCTTCAACGCCGATTCTAACGCCTTGACACGCTCCATGGTGGTGCGCAGACGCTTCTCCAGTTTTGGCAGTTCACAGCGCAAATCAGCATTGTCACGCACCAATTGCTTATGCACCTTTGTCAACTGGTCGAGATTGTTTTCGAGGAAGGAGATTTTCTGTTTTTGTGCCAAAGAGCAGCCATCCTCTTCGTTGTCTTCGTTGATCACGGTCTTCTTGATGCGCGCCTGCAGTGAAATGAGAAAATGAGTAGTTACACTTTGTATGAATTTGGGTGATTT